CGCGGTGGAAATGACGCATTGGAAGAACTTTTCCCAAAAGTTGATATCGGTGCACAATTTACTAGCAAAATGATGGCAGTTAGTATTAGACCTAATGAAATTTAAGTTTTGAGCTGATTGAGTAATTAATTGCATTGCAAAATGGTATATTTTAGGACGCTAATGATGATAAATGGAAAACACGGAAAGAAGCTCTTGAGCAAGTTCTTGCTATTGTAGATGCTAACAAGAGAATTAAGCCGAATTTAGGTATTTATTTGTCTTGCACTCTTTTACTGCGCAAAATTATATAGATATATAAAATTATTTCAAATTAGGTGAATTTGCACCAATTCTTAAATCACGCCTTGCTGATAGTAATAAGAACCTTCAAATGATGGCATTGGACATTTGTGGCAAGCTTGCAACAGCCATGGGCAAGCCTTTCGAAAGATACGTAAAAACGTTGGTCGGTCCTGTGACATCTGTGCTAACAGACCAAAAAGCCACCGTACGCGGTAGCGCAATTAGTTGTTTGGAGTGCTTGGCGTCTGCTACTGGTCTTGATCCTATGGTTTCTTCATTCGCAACCAGTCTTGGTTCTGAAAACCCTCTGTTGAGAAAAGATTTATTACACTGGTTCTCGGATCGTCTCAAAGATGCAGATGAAAAAAATAATTTACCAGATTTACAAATATTAGTTCCGTCTTTATTGTCGTGTTTGCAAGATCGCAATGGGGATGTAAGGAAAGCTGCACAATCGTGTTTAGGGCCTGTCGTAAAAAGTGCTGGCTATGATTTTGTGGTAACAAAATGCGGAGATCTTAAGGGAGCCGTAAAACAAACTATAATGCCAATGGTTGAAGCAGTTCGACCAGCACATGGAACCGGTCCTCTTCCGAGAGGAAAAGATTCTAGAAAATTAGGGGCAAAATCAAGACTTGCTGTGCCATCGAGTTCAAAAGACGGCAAAAAATAGTGAAACTGATGCCTCTGATGATATAGACGAGGATGATACACCAAAATTACCACCTGGATTAAAACTTAAGCCACCAGCTAGCTCTGCACAGGGTATACCAACTAGATCTATTGCAATGTCACATCCCACATCAACGAATGATGCTTCAAGTTCAGGTTTAATTCCTCCCAATGGGCAAAATTCATTGGCTGCTAATAATGCTCCGCCATCATTTTGCTAGTAAATTGTGCACCGATATCAACTTTTGGGAAAAGTTCTTCCAATGCGTCATTTCCACCGCG